TAAACTTATTTCTTTTATTAGGTAGTGAGATGAATACAATCATATTTTTGAACTTTTCATCATTTTTTTTTTCATTTTGACTACCTCTTTCAATATGTGGCTCATAACACATCCTAATTTGACTTATGCACTTAAGAATGATGGATGCAAGAATTGTTGGAAATATTAATATAAGGGTTTAGGCTAAAAATTAAGTATTCAAACAAAGCAAAGATATCATTAGACTCAAAGAGGGAAACTATGGATGATTTATGTAAAGGAACGCTACAAAAGGCTCAATTGGTTCAAAAATAGCTTAAATCATCTCTTTAACTAAGTATAGCCTAGGATTTTGCCTTGAAAGAGAATCAAATGAATTCTAGAACTTAATACATAATTTAAAAATTTACATTCACATAAACTTTTTATAAATATATACAATAAATCTAAGCGAAAGACAATGTGCTCAAAATGTAGAAATTTTAACCTAATAGTAAAGCCTAGCATGAGAATTTACATAACACTCAAATAATGTTCACATGTTTTGAAAATCAAGATGGGAATATAACTGAGTTCTCATCATTGAATAGGTAAATTAAACAAAACTAGCACAATTAAATTTGGTTCAAATATAAATGCACCTGCATAAAAAAAATTTAATGAAAATAAACTAACCTAAACTATCACAAAAACTAAAAACAATAAAACTCTCTCCCAAACTTAAATTGCACATTGTCCTTAATATGAAAAGCTAAAAGAATAAAGAAAAGAAACTCCTCTATCAATCATGACAGTGTATTGAATGCTCTAATTTTTGTCCTTCTTATTCATGCTTTCCAAACTTGCAGACTCAACAAACAAGTTAGGGAGAAGTTATAAGTACTTATTTAAATAGAGAAACAAAAACTAACTTAACAACTAAAACTAAAAAGATATAGCTTGTGTTGCCTCCCAAGAAGCACTTCTTTGCAGTCAATAACTTGACTTTGCTTGAGGTCTTTATTCACCCTTTAAGGAGGTTTGAGTTTGCATGAAAGAAGCTTGAGATATGAAAGTAGTCTCCTCCTAGGATGAGGTTGTAATGGGTTTAACTAAAGATTTAGTACTTGCTCAACCCAAAGTGGTGAAATATGCTAACTTTTACCCAATTTCTTAAATTGAGTTCTTTTGGAATAATGCACTTTTGGTGTAGCTTTAAAAACATGTGCAACATTTGTCAATTCTTCATTCTTATCCTTTTTTGTGACATCTTGAACCAAACAAGGTTCAAGGAGTGTCTTTGTCTTTTCCATATCAATAGACTTCTTAGGTAACTCATCAATTGTATCCAAAAAGGGAATGAGAGGCACATATGGCTTGACTTGTGATGGTGTAGATACTTTTTCCTCTCGCTTAACTTCTTTATCTTGAACTTGATTGTTAGAAGTATTCTCTTGATCTATTTTATTTCCATCATCTACCACATTCTTACCATTTACCTCATTAAGATGCTTACTATATTTTTACTCAGAGTCATTTGATAAAGTTTCTTGAGGTCTATTATTGATGTCATTAATAAGTTGACCCACACATGTCTCAATATTTCTCATTGAAGCTTCATTACTTTGAATGATTGCATCTATATTTGCCATGTATGAATTATTTTTGGCCGTGTCTTGCATTAACATCTCTACCAAAGTTGGCTTCTTGTTAAGAATAATGGCTTTAACTTGTGACTGAAAATCATTATTGAAAATAGGATGTGATGAATATGTAAGACCCTAATCATTACTCCATGAACAATTTGGGTGATTCCACCCTAAGTTGTAATTATTGGAGTATGAATTGTATTGCGGCCCATTGAGGATTTTATCAAATTGCATTGATTCATAATAGGCTGGATGGTTATCACTTGAATGCCCATCTACACAAAGCTCGCATGTCATAAAAGGACTCTTCCTAGGCACAAATTGTTCTAATGGCCATTGATAGTTATAATAATTCATCACCTCAATTAAAAGTATCTGAAAACAAAAAAAGAAAAACTCGAATTAAGATTAATCTGTGGCTATTAATATTAGTGAAATAAATAAGAAAACAAATCCTCAGTAATGGCACCAAAAACTTATTGTTGATTTTACACACTGAAGTATACGTATCGACTAAGTAATATAGTGATGAAATAGAGTATCGTTCTCACGGAGATTTGTTTCAAAAGTTTCACTAATAGTAAAATTATAAAATAAATTAATCTTATTAAGTAATCCAAAAATAAAAAAAAATAATTAAAAATAATTAAAAATCAACACCAAATAAACTAACAAACTAAATAAGTTGAGAAAAGCATTATATGAAAGATCTAAGATTATGGGTTCATTCAAAATTTCATCTGATACTAGCTTTTCTTGTTAATTATCTTTCTTGGGTGGTGTTGCTAACCTAGAATCTAAAGCTATAGACAAGTCTCTGTTAAGTTGATTGTATAAATACCTAACTTAATTACTTCACTATATGTCTATAGGAATCAATTAAATTAAGTTTATCAAGCAAGTGTCTTAATGTAGTTATGTATGACAATTGATATATATCTACTTGAATTGTTAATCAGATCACCTAAGTGACATGAACATACACT